CCCCCCCCATCTGAGAATGGAAATCCTGTTAATTAAAGCTTGTTTGTTTTGTTCTGTTTTGTTTAAATATAGTTTGCTACCTGAGAAAAGACACCTTATAAAGGTATGTCATACTTGCTTCCCTCTTTTGTTTGCACATATTTTATTATGTGGATGAAGTTAAGGCTTTGCCAATTCAAAGCCTTTAATTACCGGTAATTTCATATCCTGTAGTCAGGGAAACCAAGGCTTTGTGTACAAGTTATGCCTCAGTTCCAAATACTTCTGATGTTCTGTTGAATGTTGTTTGACAGGTGCTTGCTATATCCCAATGTGCAAAGATCTGGTGAGCGATATGTTTAGAGTTTTTAAAGGGTTTTTTGCACCATTAAGAATATTTTAAGTATCTCTCCTGGCTTCTTTTGAGATACAGTGCAAGTAAGGAGTAAAAGAGAGTACAGCAGTCAGGCTTGAGGATTGCAGGGAGACAGGGGCTCCAGGGAAATTTGTGATGGACAGTTCCCAGTGACCAGTAAGTTCAGGGCTGAAATAATTTCCGCCTCTTTAAAGCTGTACATTCAAATTAATACTGGCTCCCTTCTCATTTTGTCATTCCAATAACAAAACGTGGGAATACTGAAACAAAATATTTCCTAAATATATTGATAACAATTGAACTTCTTAGGAAGTCTGGATTTCTGCTATTCTTCTATACCGCAGCATCTAGCAAGTTTCATGTAACTTGGTAGTTAATGCTTATAAGGTGACTTACGTCTGCACTGCTACTGGGTGACTTTTATTTTTGTTCTATTTAGAACAAACTTTTTCCACAAGCTATATCTTATTTGGAGAAGACATTTCAAGTGCGCAAATCCACGGGTACTATATTACTAAGCAGGTATGTTAAAGTTTGTTGAAAATCACTTGCTATATTTGATATTTAACACTGTGTTGTATAGCCTTTAAAATAAGAATAGAATAAGAGTCTGAGAAATGCCCTCCTGAATCAGACCAGTGACCCATCTGGCCCAGTGGCCGTAGCAGATGCTATTTAGGGAGCATACACAAATCTGCCAACCTTCCGTGATCAGCATCTACATTTGTAGTGTCGCAGATTTTAAAGGGTGTACATGCTGCCTGTTTCCTTTTACATGTACCCCCACGTATGAACCTGTTCCTAATCTCTCTTTGAACCTGTGGATACTCCATTAACGACTGGAAGCATTATGTCTTCCAGAGCAGGGTAACTAACATTCTCACTGTGGAAGTTACATTAAATACCTGTATTACAGTGTTGTTGGGTGCTGTAAGACTATTCTACAGTTTCTTTTTAATTATAAAATAGTGCTGACTGTCTTTCATGTTTGATTGAAGGCAATGTGCGACAAACCAATATTTAAGGAGGAAAGCTGACCCTCACAGATACTGCCTAGGAGCCTGCGCAGACCATACAAGATGCGGGCCAGTTATAGTTCCTGAGAAACACCTCCAGGTAAGCTAAGCCATCCAAGTGCTTCTTAACCTTTGAAATATTATTGTTTGTGGAAATCAGTAAAAAAGTTAATATCACTAACTGTGCATAAGTGACCTGTTTGCGGGAGATCACTAAGTTTGAGTGACAGAATAGACCAACTTGAGTTAGTGGGAGTTTCTTTAGTTTATGCTGTTGAACCAAAAGTCAAGTAAAACTGGACTGTTTACTGTTCTCTAAGCCTGTGTTATAACGAACTGTACATTGATGAGATTCAAAGCTTGTTAAATTGCTACTAGTCACTTCATTATTCACCTTGGTCAATGAGTCAGATTTTCACAGAATTAATAATAAGTTTTGATTTTTTGGAAGACCTTATTTGAAGAGGTTATCCACTGAACCAGCAGCACGGTGCAGGAAATGCTTCTAACTTGTTTTCTTGCATGAATTTTTGATTCCCCTACAGTATGTGATCAGTAGATTTCTTTCCTTCTCTTAGCCTGAAGATTCAACTACAGTATTAAAAATGTACCAGATCACACGTGAAATGCAGTTGCTACTTATGTATACTATTTCTGTGAGCCAAAAATTTTTTTAATTTGTAGGAAATAAAGGGTGCTCATTTTGGGATATCTAGCTTGGCAGGCTCTTTTTCTCAAAAGCTGCCACCTTCCTGGTGTCTAACAAATCAAAAGAGCTAGTAATTTGAAAGTTACTCCTTGGCTCTGGTTTTGTTTACTGTCTTCATAGGGCGTTTTCTCATCTTCTGCTGTCTTACAATGGGATTTATTCTTGACTTCAAGCTAATTGAATTTTGTCATGCAAAATTTTGGCCATAGCTAAACTATTTTACCTGTTCCATTTGAACGTTGTCAAAGCAATGCAGGGTGTGCAATGAGAGTGGATGGCACTGGGGACCCACTGGCTTACCTGACCACGAAGGCGTTCGAGATGCTGACTTTGTACTTTACGTTAGTGCTCTCACTACTGAAAGGTGTGGCCATGAAAATATCATTGCATATGCAGCCTACTGCCAGCTGGAAGCTGAAACGGACAGGCAAGTATTCCCGCTGGTACAAACTCTTTTTTTAATTAAACTTTCAAGTTTTTTAATTGTTGAGATGGAGAGTTTAATTGTTTGCCTGTCTTGTATAGTATAGCAAAGTAGAAGTCATTATTAAAATAGACAAGCACTGTATTTATGTAAAACCACAAAACAATCAAATAGTGCTTAACTTGCAAAGCTGAGGCATTTAATTCAAAGCTAATCCTCCATTGTTATTGCCTAAAATTTCAAGATCCTGCTTCTGTTGAAGTGAATGTCATACTTTCACAAATTTAAAGGAGGATGCAAATGGGCCCTACTTATGTGCCTTTTGTTTCTAGTTCAGTTGCAGTCATTGTAACAGACACTTTGTGCCCCTATAGTGTCTTACCTAAAATTCAACTCTCCTATACTGTTGTCACTAACACCTGTGCAGAATACTGAATATAGAGATTGATCCTGTCCCACCCCTCCCCATTTCAACAGCAAACTAGTCACTGTATTGTTAACAGACTATTTATTAATGATCGGGGAAGTTGTTTGGAAGGACTTATTTTTACATTAGTCTCCATTTTCTTTTAAATCTTTTGCCTCTTCAAGTGAATATGATTTGAGTTTGCTAGTATTTTATTGAAAACAGTTTAATGTTAAAACTGTCTTCCAGGCCGATAGCAGGATATGCTAACTTGTGTCCAAATATGATTTCAACGCAAGCTCAGGAATTCATTGGCATGTTGTCTACAGTGAAACATGAGATTATCCATGCACTGGTAAGGGATGATGTTATAAAACATGTTTCCCTGAAATTTGTGCCTGCTTCCTTGCATACCACCGGCTTGTTGCAAGAGAAGGATGGTTGGTGGAGGAAAGCTCTTGCTTTGCCTCCCTCAATTTGTACGTTAGTTGTCCTGAGGTGCGGTATTTCCAATGTATCTGCTGTGGAAGTGGTAACTCTTTCATGGCATTTGGCTTTGTATGTGAACGTCTTACCAAAGGTTTCTGCGTGCTTGGTTTTTTAACTTGAAGGGTTTCTCTGCTGGACTGTTTGCGTTTTATCGTGATGATGATGGAAAACCTTTGACAACAAGATATGCAGATGGACTCCCTCCTTTTAATGAAAGGTATTTTATTTTTTTGGACCTCTTGGTATTCCCATTGAAGGATGTTTTCACATTGCCTTTTTAGGATGTATTCTTGCCTGTTGAAAATCCAACTTGATTGCATTATTAGAATGCTTTGCCTTTATTATATTCAAACATTGGTGTGGGGTGGTTTTTTAGTCTGTCTTTACATTGGCATTAAGCACTTACGTTACAAACATTACAAACTAAGGCAGGATTTCATTTATCAGGAGGCTTGAAGTTAAGCATTAAAATTACCCATGCTTAAATTTCAATGCTTGCTAAACACCTTATTAAATTGAGACTTGTATTTTCTGTAGTCTGTCTAATGTCAGTGCAGTTCATGTTTTAAGACATGTATCATTCAAGGTTTATAATTATGCAGAACTGACAATGTGTGTAGTCTGCTGCATGGTTTTTCTGACTTGTTATTGAATGAACAGTTTGCATTTTTTTTCTTCATTTAGTTGATATTGTAGAAATGTTCTTCTAGGGGTTTTTTGGAGGTTGAAGGGTAGAGAGCTTTTGGTTTTGTTCACCTTCCTTTTTACAATAGCAATTCTGAGGATTTTTGTTTCATTTCTTAAACTTTTGGTAACTGTAGAAAATACGTCTTGAGTCTACAGACATCTTTTTAATAATCTTACTTTGGCTTATTGAATCAAGTTGTGTATGTAATGAACGCCTATCTTGCAAAGGAGAAATGTTGCGTAATAAATTTAAACTTCAGAAAGTATGAGGAAGTATAGAGATTATTCATGATTCTGTTTCTTATGGAGATAAATCTTTGCACAGTAGCGTGTATTTGTGGGAAAGATTTGTAATCAAAACATTCTTCTTACAGTCTAGGTTTGTATCAGTGGAGCAATAAAGTCGTTCATAAAGCCGTGAGGTTATGGGACATACGTGGTGGCAAAATGCTGCGCCATGCTGTTTATCTTCTGATAACACCTCGTGTAGTTGTAAGTGTGGATTAACTTAAACTTTTACACTTTGTATGCCAAGCTTTCCATCAGTTACCATCACATTCTCGAGTCCTAAATATTTCTTATTCTTTTAGAAGTAATAACCTAACATTGAATACCATTTTCCTGAAAGTATGGCCCAAAGGCTATGCGATTAAGACACTATAATTAGTTGAGAGGGTGTATCCAAAGTAAAGTGGAAAATGGTTGACAGACAGTATGAAATAAACTGACATAGTAAGAGACAATGAAGGTTAAGCAAAAATGATGTTGAATAGATTCCTTAATCCTACTCTTTAGGTGTTTTCCTACAGACTTAGACACCTAATATTCCTGTTGCCTTAACAGATAGTGTTGTCAATGCTTTTCTCATGTTTAAAAAGAAATTCCTCAAGTATTCTTTGAAATCTTTCTTGCTTCCCACGCCTCTGACTCTCCTGCCCACTCCCAACAGAACATATGCTTAAGTGTAATAAACTGGTATTGGAAATAAGTTACAGTGTTAATCACATTTGGCCACACTGGCAAAGGCTCCTGACCATAAGACCACAGCATTGTTGTGATGCCTCTTAAGATTTTCAAACATTTTGCAGAAAACACTTTCCCGTCCAAAACTAGTTGACATGTACATAAGCAGGGTTGTAGTGTTCCTACACTGTTTGGGGGTTTTTGCTGGGTTTTTTTATATGGTCTTTAGTGTGTGCGTGCTATTCTCAGCTAATTCTGTTGCTGTTTTATTCTTGTAAACTTCCATAATTTATTTCCAGGAGATAAGTAGACAGATTGTTAGGCTTGGTGTTGGGGTACTTGCTGGCTTAGTCAGCCTCTGAGTAGAAGTGTTTTACATTCGGAGGAAAACAAGATGGTAGAAAAAGAAATGCTGAAATACTTTTAAAAGATAATTCAAGGAGATTAGGACTGCATATGGGTATCGGTCTCAATATTTTGAGAGTTACGTTGAAATGTTTTCTTTCTAGGAAGAAGCTCGAAAACATTTTAATTGTCCAATTCTAGAGGGAATGGAGCTTGAAAATCAAGGTGGCATGGGTACTGAGCTCAATCACTGGGAGAAGAGATTGTTGGAGGTTAGTGCTGATATTAGGAGTGGAGGGGGATGTGGGAATGTCTGCTCCCTCTGCCTGTATTTTTAGGTTTTTAGTGGTACCTACTGGAGCCTTGAAAAACCTCATTGAAATATATCACAAACAGTACTAAACTACAAATACTTAAATGTCCATTTTCTAGATAAATCTATCTCTTTACTTTATTGCTAAGCCTCTGAGTATGAGTTTGAGATAAGCTGATTACTAAAACAACTACATGTCTTTTACTTTTGTCTGCCATTTACCCTTTTGAGAAGGTATGCTCCCCTTTTAGGGGAAAGGGCATATTTCTTTGAGTGAATTCAACTTTGTCACCCTCTGCTTCTTATACACCAAATATTTGATCGTTCTGTCCATTCATTATCTTGACTTCATCTTTATTCATGTGCCCTGGGGTTAGCTTTTGCCATCTCTACTCCAGAACTTCATCTGATCAAGGAAACACTTATTTCCCTCCTGACATTTAAACTTATTTTTATTTATAACTTTGTGTTGTGTGATATTTTGGGCAGAGATACACTTTGTAGTTATTTTTGTATGCAGTGAGGTAAACAAGAAGTGAAACGCTTCAGGTCAGACCTTTTTGTGGAAGTAATCTTGAAAAATACGTATTTCTTGAGACCGAAATTGTTAGCTTTTCCTGCTTTTCGGTAACGTTTGGTGTGGAACAGTAGCTTAAAGCCAACTGGAAAGACTGCCATTAGAATGAGGATAATTCTAAGGATTGAATAGGATTAAGAAAAAGGAAATAATTACTAGTTTCCTTTACACCTTTCCAGAGAAAGTTTGTGTCTGGAAGTAACCCATATAGTTTGGTTTTGGTCTTGATCCAACTCTCATTAAGTATTGTAGAGGTAGCAAATTTGGCGCTAATAAATCTGCTAGTGATAACTCCTCCTAACCACACTAGTGGAGAGGGAATGCTGGAAAACTACATGTTTTGAAGAAATAATAGAAATGAGATGAAGTTCAGTAATAGAAATCCCAGAGTTGTGTAATTAAGGGTGAGTGACTTTTGCTGGAAGTCTGAAGTTTATCGGTTTTAAATGACTGAACAGACATGGGTGTTACAATTGCCAGTTATAAGGTAATTAGGAAACTCCAAGGTGACTGGAGTTGCTCTTTGAGGATGGTGTGAACTTTCTTATTTTTAAATGAGATGGAAATTTCCACTGCCACACTAATAAAGCTTCCTTTAGAGTGTTGCGTTCCTTTAGTCATGTGTCCTGTGCACCTCCCTCCTGAAAAGGACTACCAGAAATTCTAGGAAAATTAAAAAACAGTCTTACACGAGACCTTGGCTTTCAGCTTACCAAAAGGAGACAGAAGGGAGGGGGGTGATTGCTACACATAAATATGCTAGAAGAAGGAAGAGTTTTATTTTACCTGAAGAAAAACGAGTACACATTGGTCTTGAATAAGGTTTAGCTGGAATTTGGAATGAGGCTTCTGACTTCTAGAATCCTGAAGCTTTGTAGGGTGGAGTGGGGAACGGAGTTGCACTTTTGATCCCTTTTATGAAAGAGGTTGGGATTTGATTGTCAATAGTTAGAAGGGACTAGAAATAAAATGCTTTTTCATAGGAAGCATTTTCTTACAGTAATGATTTTCAGTGGCTTGCTAATAGTAACTGGTAACTTTCAGAATGAAGCAATGACTGGATCCCATACACAAAATCGAGTCTTTTCCAGGATCACCTTAGCATTAATGGAAGACACAGGGTAAGAATTAATAAGAATGGGGTGGTTTTTTGGTTCATTTGTGTTCGGTTTTCATTGTACTTGATTTTATTTGGAACTGATGCACTTGTGCTTATCCATCTGCAACACAGTAGATAATCGGCATAATTAGCATTACATTAGACAAGAAGTTATACCTTGTGTGTTTCCTAGTATGTATTTTTCTTCATGTATTTCAAAACCCATCCATTCTTAATCTAGCCTTAAAAAAAAATGCATTGCAAAGCATAGTACTGTTTGTAGTGTCTGTTTACTTTTTTTCTTAATATAAGTCTTCTCTCAGTTGCATGCAGTACATATTATTTTTTCAGCTCTTCTTGCAGATAGAAAGCATAAATTGTCTAAAATTTTATCTTTCTGTATGCATTGTTCCTTTGCAGATCATGATGCATTGCTGTTGAACAAATAAGCAATAAAATTTTCTTTTAGTTCGTTGTAACTTGAAAATAGTGAAACTGTAATATATTTTGCTATAGGCAGAAGGGGATGCAGTTTCCCTTTTTCTTCATTTAAAGACCTTAAGGCATAGTATGAAGTTCTTTGAACTGATGTTTTATTAATCAGAACACTAATTTTTGAAGTAACTATATTCTCATTTCAAAATACCTTTACAGCTGGTATAAAGCAAATTATAGCATGGCAGAGAAATTAGATTGGGGACGCAATAAAGGCTGTGACTTTGTGATGAAGAGCTGTAAATTCTGGATCGACCAAAAGAGACAAAAGTAAGAATACAGTCTTTTTAAAAAAAATAAAGAGGAAACCCTGATGCTTGTTTACATTTGTCCTTCAAATGCAACTCAATAAAAAGAAGTAGAGGTAGATACAGATTAACAAGGAATGCTGTCCTAAGTGCCTTCAGAATGCACCCAAGAAGGAGCACACCGAATGTATTAAGAGCAGAACATTCCCACCCCATAAATACAGAGCCAAACATCTTAAGGTTTTGAATGCATTTACACTATAAGAGGGCTATGCTTTAGAGAGGAGGGGAGGGACTTGATCTAAAAGTGTTTGCTTTCTTATTTTGCCCCTTGTAATTGGAAATGCAGCCTGTGTCATTTTGCATTACTGGATTGTACTTAAAGCAACAGAAGAAGATGATAACCATCTTCAAAACAAAGCCTTACTTGTTTGTTCATTACAATACTCATAAATTTCTAGGACACAGCTGCATAGCGGGCCTCTTTTGCTTGTATGTTTTTTTTTTTTTTTAAAGTTTACAAAGCAATGCCATTAAAACTAAACAGGTGAGTGCATTGTAACTTTGTTTGCTGGGCTGATATTCTTTACATTGGAAAGGTCATAACCAGACAAATAACAATAATTAGCCTCCAGAGAAGAAGTCGGTGCTTCTTTGTGTGATTGACCAAGTGTGGGGGAGAGTGGGAACAGACAGTCTTGACAGACTGCTTAGTTAAAAAAGCAGTTAAAGTGATCTAATGTGATTTATATTATTTTTTTTTCTTTGAGGAGGCAATTAATCAGTCCATACTGCGACACTTTGAGGAGTAATCCTTTGCAGTTAACCTGCAGGCAGGACCAAAGAGCAGTAGCAGTGTGCAATTTGCAGAAGTTTCCAAAGCAGTTACCTCAGGAATATCAGGTATCATGTATCTTACTTTACCAAATAACTAAGTGTTTTCATTCTTGTACTTTGTGGCCAGGTGATTCTATTTGTTTCATTTTTTTCTTCTGAACTAGTAGATGAGAGTAGATATTGTGAAAAATGTCTGCTTATTTTATTATAAGGAGTCTGGAGGCTGAAAAAAAGCCTTGTGATCTTAATAAAACAATAAGGATGTTGCTTGGCCATCTAACCAAATATCAGGTGGAAACATTGCTGTGTAACAGAAGTCCCCCAGAATGTTTTGTCTGACGTATTTCTTCACCCCTCTGCTGCCTTGTGTCGCTGCGTGCTAAGAAATTTGTTCTGTTTTATCCCAGAGAATAATATGATTGCAAAGGGGGGGAAGGGGTGGGAAGTGGTAAATGCAAATGTGAATCTCTCTGCATTATTTAAGTATTCTTAAATACTTCTGGTTCATCTTGTTCATGGGTATTGTAAGTTGCTGTTAATAGCATTCCCGAGTGGTAATAGCTGGTGTTCTTACAGCTGTAGTGATTGGTTCTATTTAAAAAAAGTTGTACGCTTGTCTTTGTGCAAACTGCTTCACTGCCTATTTTGTTTTGCAGTATTTTGACAGTCTTAATGGAGTGCCAGCAGAAGAATTACCTTATTATGGTGGCTCAGTAGAAATTGCTGACTATTGTCCCTTTAGTCAAGAATTCAGCTGGCATTTAAGTGGTGAATTTCAGCGCAGCTCAGACTGTAGAATAATTGAAAACCAACCAGGTCAGTTTCCAGGACTTCGATATGGTATTTAAGAGACTGCATTTGTTAATCTGGAATGGGCTTGCTATATACCCAAACTAATTGGATGTGAAATTAGTTTTACATTACTAGCTGTGTAAAAGCTGTGCTGGAGTAAGAAGCACAGCACAACTACCTTGTACACCTAGGAAGCAAACACTTGCATCCAATACAAGAATTGCATGAGAGCTGAACAGAAATTAACCCCCAATGATCCAAATATAAGACAAAGGGTGGGGTGGGTGGGTTAGTTGGTTGGTTTTTCAGTCTCTGAAAAATAATTCCACTTTCCACCTTTGTAGTTTTTTGTTCAAGGCAAGGAGCTTTGCGAATTACCAAAACATGGGCTTGTCTCCTAGGGTAGCGCATGAATGTTCAGTATTGCGGAGCTTCAGAATGCTGTAGGATTCTGTGCAGTTGTCTCAAAAACAAATAAACACCCTCTGCCCTCAAGCCAGCAATGACAGCCGGCACTCCCTGGGGGCAAACATATCCACATGGTTCTGATGGAAAGTACTTGCCTTTTTTTTTTTTTTTTTTAATTAATCTTGGGTTTCTTCCCACCTTGTATTCAATATCAATTCCCAAATTGATAATGATTAATGGTCTGAAAGGTTCCAAAAGTAAACCTTGAATTGCATGTGGAGACATTGACTACTTATAGCATATTAAGTTGACGTGGACTTTCTGTTCTCCTAGTAAGTTGCAGTTCAGTATATTCTTTCTACCTTAGATCCTACAAAAAACTATGGTGCAGAGAAATACGGACCAAACTCTGTATGTCTTATTCAGAAATCTGCTTTTGTCATGGAACAGTGCAGGAGGAAACTCAGTTACCCTGACTGGGGTAGTGGATGTTATCAAGTAAGTATGTGTTGGGGTTTTATCTTTATTTTTTTAAAATAACACTAAAGGGAAAAGTCAGGCATAAAATATCAGCTGTGACTGTTAGAACTTTGCACCTGGATGCTGTACATGATCTTCTCTGCCTTAAATCACTAGATTATATGACATGCTTTGAAAATAAGTATCTTCTAACCATAAGCCTATAGTTTAGATCACGCATCAAGTTAAGTGTGTGACCACTGGGATGGCTTGTGTGTTACTTCCAGCCTTGCTAGGGACTTCATCTGTCTTACCCCGTGACACTTTCTCCACAGCTAAATAGGAATAGTTATATTGGAATCTTCTGTTGTTGAAGCTTAATGTTAATTAGTCACTCTGATTTTTCAAAGGTGGAAAGCACTGTGCACGTCACTTATTTTTCATTATCCTCCCTCTCTTCAGGACTATCTCACTGAAGGTGTCACTTTCAACAACAGCACAACTCTAAAAAAGTAGTCATTAGCAGAAGCCGAATTTTACTTGTTCTCAGTTGATAATCTCCATAATTGCATGAAAAGAGTACTGTCAGTGCTTTAAAGCATTCTTGAACCAAATAGGCGCTCTGAGTGCATTAAAATACTTGCAGTTAATCTATGCTCTAATACCAGGTGTTTACTGAATGTAGTATTTACTTACTGAAAAAGCCTCCAAACCCCAAAACATATTTCTGATAAATCATAATACAGACTTGACTTTTATTCTTTTATTTTAAGGTTTCTTGTTCTCCACAAGGGCTGCATGTTTGGGTCAAGGACACTGCGTACTTGTGCAGCCGCTCAGGTCAGGTATTAACTGTGAGCATTCAGATGAATGGCTGGATACATGTTGGGAACTTGATTTGCCCAGCCTGTTCGGTCTTCTGTGACTCCTGTCCCCCAGAGCGGGATCCTCCAGCTTCTAACTTAACAAGAGCTGCACCAATCGGTAGGTTGCCTTATTTGCTGAAGTGAAACTTAATATTAAACGTCTGAAAACTCTAAAGGTTTGTGTCAGCTCTGACTGTCGGGGAACAGGAAAGGAGAGCCATGGCCTGGCTATTCTAAGATTCTAGGCATAGGCGTTAAAGGAAGATGGCAAACGTGCCCTGCTTTTTGCTGTGCAGTCGTGCAGGATAGTGGCTAACATAGGAGAAATGTGTCTAAAACGTAACTACTTCATGTCATGTCTCCTTCTGGTAATCGCCCCAGAAATCTAGCTTTAGCCTAGCAACTTACCAGAAAATCTGATCGGTGTTTTGAAGGCCGTATCACTATTATAACCTTCAAAATTATCACCTTGGTGGAAAGTGAGTTCTCACTTGTATAACTTCCCATTGACAGAGTTAATGCTGTAATCCAGAACATGAAAGATAGGTGTCAGTTTGCTTTCTGAGGGAGGAAGAAAGCTTAATTCACTATCAGTTAATGTTTTGTCAAGAACAGATGGCTTTCTAAAAAGCCAATTGATGAAAGAGAACAGTCTTTACAGTATTTTGCACTAACGGCTTATTTTTAAGCCTTTAACCAATTATTTAATTGTTGGATGTGCTGTCTCTATTGCAGTTTTCAAGGAAAAAAAAAACTTGTTCTGTTTACCTGCACACTCAATTCTTTTTTCAAAGTGGTGCACTTGGGTTAGTGTGTACCATTTCAAATAGTTTCATTTTGTCTCAGAGATAGCAACATTTCAGTGGTTAGTGGAATGAGTCTTATAGGTTAGAATTTAGAATGAGAAAGCTGTGACCTAGGAGATTCACATCTTCTTCTAGCATCTATTTGAATTCATGCTTCGTGTGTATATATAAAAAAAGGTTTTTATCTGTCCAAGTTTACGTTTGTGTCTGTGGTTTTCTTAAGCCTCATGGCTGTGTGATTACCTACCATACGGACAAATGTATTGGGTTTTATACATATGATTCATGTATTGGGTTTTCCCTCTCCTCTTTTTTTTTTTTTTTTTTCCTCTTCAGCTTGGTGTTTTGTGTCTTGGGTTTTTATATGACTTACAGCCATACAGATAAAAAGTACTAATAAAACAATCTTTTGAGAGTCTGTGATTTCAAAATGCTGCTTCTTGCCAGTCATGCCATAGGGAACTTCCTGCTCTTCTTTTGCGATACCGATCAATTTTTCTCATTTGTTCTCCTAATTGCTATTAGTGAAGGAATGCAGAAATTTATTTAATTGTAAAGGGAGTAATCATGTTATTTGGTTGGTTTGAATTCCTAGCCTTGAAAGCTAGAATAAATCAGTGCAGATTACTGCAAATATGTTTTTGCTCTTTGGTGTTTTTTAGTGTTCTGTTATTTTATCTTCTCTTTAAATATAAAATTTATAAGCTTTATGGTGTTTTGTTTTTTATTTTAGACTTATGCTCCTGCTCATCTAGCCTGGTTGTAACCCTTTGGCTATTGATGGCTAACTTAATTCCCCTGCTAACAGGATTATTTCTCTGCGCATAGAGTTAAGCATGGGGCAAGAAGATGTTCCAAGATGACATACCATCATGTTGCACTCCTTATTGTGGAGCATGGAGTTTTTTGTCTCTGCAGGCAGCTGTCTTCTGCTGAACTTCATCTCTCCTGGCAAGTATTGGTGCAGACAGTAGTCAGGGAGGCACTGACAAAAGCAGCCAGAATTTGAGAGGAGGAAAATTTACCTTGTCATCTCAATAAGTGCCAGTATTTTCCTGAATTGCAACCTTTGGGTCTTTTTGACGCAGTAACAAGATCCACTATGCCAACTGTATTAGACTACCTGGCAACTTGGTCAAGATTTGAAATGAGAACTCTTCTGTAATAGAACTGAGGGTTGTTTTTTTGTTATGTCCTCTGTGTGACTCGTAGCAAAGCATCCTCAAATTGCAAATATACCTCAGTGGTTTAGTCAAAAGCCATGTAAAAATCAGTTGTCATCACTGCTAATAACCCAGGCCTAAACAGGTGTGGGAATTTGTTTGTTTGTTTTGTCAATTCTTACAGTTTGTCGGGGGAAGAAATAGAATGGGATAGACCAGTGGTTGGCAATTGTCTCCACAACTGGATTCTGCAGCTTTTGAGGCTTTTCAGAATTCATACTAGTTCGCGATAAAGCAGCCAATTCTTGGGGTTCACTTAAACCTTCTGAGATGCACAAAGTGTAATTTCAGCCTGGTAACCAAGACAACTCTCTAGAAATCCCATCCTCGTTTAGCATGTGCCAGTTCCACTGTGAAATTTAATACATAAAATGTTTGAATATTCTCAGAGTAATTTGCTAGGCAAATGCATTTCAGTACTGACACCCAGTCTATAAAATTGGGATAGGATTTCTGATTATTTTTAATTTTGTTATTTGTTTCTGAAATAATGGCATTATTATTTTTCAAATAGTATGAACATAAATGCTGCTGTTCTCACTTTTTGTTGAAGGGCAAACCAGTAGCAATGGCAGCTATAATCTTACAGGACTATATTGACTTATCCAGACCAAAAACTATATTGAATGTGAGAAAAAAAAAAAAGCAAATCTGTCTTTTTTCCTTCCCCCCCCCCCCCCTTTTTTCTTGGACATATAAATACTATTGATTATGGATTATTTGAGTATTTTTAATAAGTTAAGAATCAGACATTTTGAACCACACAATGGCACACCATGGTACAAAATTAATCACGTGATGGATAAAATATGTAAGAGGAAGGAAATGAGCAAAATCTGTCTAGCTAAGGACAGCTGCTCTATAGGACACTTGTAAGGATGGGGTTTTTTTGTTTCTGACTCTATAATGTGTTACAAATAATCCTGTTTGGAGTAAAAGAAACTCTTACGTGGTCCAAACCGTTGTGTGTCCTGTTAGAATAGTTTTCATTCTTGGAAAAGTGTTAAACTTGAGGGAGAAGGCATGCCCAGTGCACTAAAAAAATGCAAATACAGGGAGAAAGATGATGTTAACTCTGTTTCTTAAATGTGCTGTGATGTTAGAATTGTCAGTGACTAGCTCCCTTTCTAAAATGAAAGGTAGGGGGATGAAAGGGGTATGGAGTAAAATTTATTTAGCTACAATTAAACTTGTTTAATAAGAGGACTTCCACTGTAATTGTAAGAAAATCTTTGTGCCTACTGGACTTGTTGGTTTTTTTATTTAAAGAAACTCCTACAACATTACTGAGGTGAGTAAGCTGCAACCTAAAACTGTCTGAAGGCGTCACAGTTGAGAGAGTACCTTGCCCTGGACTGGTTCCCCTTCTTAACTGCAGGTTAAGTTTGCTTTCAATTATACAAGGCCTAGGCTAGCCTTAAATAGGTGTTTCTGAGAAGCAATACAAATTAGGAATCAAATGCTTTAAATGTGTACAAGTTTGAATTAAGAAACTCTCAGATTAATAAGTGAACACTGATTATTTTAATATATGCACAGTCAACAGTCGGTGTAAATTGATTCCTTGAAAACATAAAGGTTTGAGAATACATCTTGGGTCCCAGAGGTTGATATTGTATTTTTTGTCTGTTGTGCAATAATACGGTTTAAATGGTATCACTCAACAACAATGGTTTTGATACTTGAAAAGAAATTATTGGTTATTTTTTCTTACTGTGAAATATTTGCACTGTCTGAACTTTCTGGTTAACTTTATAAATGTTAAACTTTTTTACTGGTGTTAATTTATTGTGCTCAGTATTTGATATGCTAGTCTCCTGTCTGTGTAAGTATGGAATTTGTCATATTTAATTGAATATTTTTATCTTCTACACAGTTGCTTATCTTGAGGGCTTTTCTTCTTTTATTCTCTCTTCCTGAGAATTAACTGAAAGATGGCTTAAAAAGTCGATGCTTACCTACTTCTGAATTGTATGCATTAATTGAAGACAGAGGCTGTAGTGCATTGTACCTACAGGGAAAAATCTATCTGCCTGTCGGAGCTCTTGTGGTCAGATTCACCAGTAGTGCTGAGTAGCTGCATCAGTGAATCCAGTGAAGTAAAACTAATACTGCCTTAATAATCTGAGATTTCAGTCGTAATTTCTTTGATGTGCAGCCCTTCAGCTGGCTGTAAACTGCAGAACTGGACGTGACTTTGGGGAGTTGGGGAGGGAAGGTACTTCAGCAGGCAAAATCCAACATGTTATATCCCATCAGTGTGTTCGCAGCTGTAGCCGTGTTGGAACTGCCAAGAAATGTGTCAAGTTCAGTTTAAAGTGAGAATGAATTGGTGACGGTCAAAAAGAGTATTTGAGTAAAACTGACTACCTCAGTTCTGTTTGTCTTTGAGTTAAGCTTCTAGCCTGCTGTGAACTTCCAAATCTTAATATGAATTAAGTAAAAACATATCTCAGGTTTTTAAGAGCAAAATAAATACAGTAGGAAGCATAAGCCATTTCTGAGTGTACGACACAGCTAAAATTGTAGCCTAAACCAATCAGTTATGTAGCCTTAACTGTAGTTTCCCCCGTAAAAGTCAGTATTGGCTTTAAATAAATACAAAGTTTGCAGGCAGCCACTTCAGGTGTCTGACCATATTGTGGCAAGTCCATCCTATTGCATCTCTCACATGTGAACGCTTTGAAACATAGCCCACGTAAAAGCCGCTGTTTTCACCAGAGTAGATGGGGCGGCAGGAGCCCTGGAAATAGTGCTAAGAGATGAATGAGTTAGCTTGTCTGTAGCAGAAACATTTTCAGTATATAATGTCCACAGTTTTAATTTTTTAAAAACATTCCATGTTTGCTCATGGAAGTAAATTAGTCTTGCGGTCTTTTTTTGCCCCAGTAGTTCAAATCTATAGCATTTCAATTAGAAGTTGAGGCAAGTTGTTCTTCAGGAACACATTTTTCTAGTGTTTCAGACAATTCAGGAAGGATAGGTTTTGGCTGGAGTACGCAGCAAGTAAAATTACATTGAAAAGCAGGCAATTCATTCCTCTTGAAATGAGTTGAGGTCTCGGGAGACTGTCACGGCCTTGGATGTTGGTTAATTACCCAAAGAGAATTTTGACCCCCATAAATTGACTGTTTAGTCCAATGCAGCTCATTCTTTCTGCTGAGCACTAGCAAATTAGGAAAACTGATGTCACTTAAGATCAGACATATCCACAATCCCTTACGAGGGCCAGTTCTTCCCGTCCTGCAAATCTTCCTGCTTGAATATCTTTCAGTAGAGAGGGAGGCGTACGTCCTTTCTTCCCCGCGTTTCCCACGAGTGACTTTCAGCCGGCTGAGCAGGGCAAGGTCTTTCCCCTGCAAGATTTAACAACCAGCTTTTGCTTGGCTGAACGCGTGGGTGCCTTGCTCTTCAGGATTTGAATCTATCTGTGTGTTAAATAATGTGATCTTACACTACCGGACCTCCAAAGCGCAAATGTTGCCTTTATATGTGAAGCTTACCTTGGAGATAAAACAACTGTTTTGAGAGAACTGGCTGACCTTGAACACGTGTTTCCTATTTTGGTACAGAATGTAAATATAGAACAAACTATTTTACATAGATTTTGACTGGATTGAGATATAAGGGCTAATTTTTGTTATTTATGGAGTAAAAATTTCCTTATTTTACTGTGTAAAAAAAAAAAAAAAAAGTCATGAAAGAGGAAAAAATTGTTCATCAATAAAATGTCTGTAGAAAATTGACTCTTCTTGCCCTTTTCTTTGAGAGCTGACAATTATTAACTGCAAGAATAAGCACAATAAAGAACCACCATTACAAGTAATTTATTTTGTGAGGATTTTGAAAAATGAAATTACATCAAGTCTGCATATTGATCGCTTTATTAAACTGTTAGTTGATAGACTTTGAATGTAAAATGTTCTATATTATTATTAGCAAATACATGACTTATCAGAAGTTCAGCCTGCTGGAGAAGTAAGGAGGTTCCCGAATTCTCTATCCCATCCTCATGTATTTCATACTTAAAAATTACACAATATTTAAGTCTTTTTCCACTTGAAATGGAAGATCATAATTCCCTGTTTTGTGTAAAGCATTTGGCCACGATTCCCATTTCAGCTGGAGGAATGTTGGCGTTGCCCTGCGGAGCCCCGAGCCCTCGGCTGTGACCGGACTCCGAGCTGGAGGAGCTGTGCCACCTTCGCTGCTGTTCAAAAAGTGTGGCGGCAGCCGCTCTTTCTGGTAGCCGAGACAGCTTTGCTAGCTGTGAGACTGATATTTTTACAATATATTTATAATTACAATACATTTTTTTATACATATATATATATTACTCTGATAAATGTGAAAGACATAACAACATTCCTTTAAAAGGCAGAGTGGAGACGATTTTTTATCTAGTGCTTTTTTTTCCCCCTAAGCAATGTGTCAGCGAATACACAGAGAGATTAAAAAAACCCGCTTGCCTTCCTCTGCTATTTTGGAAAATCGGATAAAGCAAAGCAAAAGTAGGTTACTCTTCCTTTTTGTTTGCCTTGTCTCTAAATAGGAGTCTTTCAAAAGGGTATTAAAGCTTAAAAAATGTGCCACTGTTCATTCCAT